CGGCTAGCCGTGCTAGTTACTGTTGAGAAAAAACAAAATTCACATTTAAATAAGAATACCATTCAGTGTCGTTTCAGTCAAAACCTGTACGAGGTAACAAATTGTAAAATAGAATTATTTGCTATTTTTCATAGATGAATAATATTTGCTTCTGTATAATCAAGATGATTAGTTGCGCTGTTAAATCTTCAATACCCAAATAAGGTGTTAACAAGAATTACTGTATAGGGGATTAATTTCACGGGTTGTAATTTTCACGGTTTTCTCTCATCGGATACGATCGCGGTTTCTTGAATTCGCGGAATTCTTATGTTATTGAAGTTACCTCCCTTGTCTATTGCCATCTAATCCATAGCTACATGTAAACGACATTCATCATTGTTATGTCTTTATTTCACGAACAACAGGGTAGGTTAATATAAAATAGTTAGACTTAATAAATAATTTACGATTAATTAAACAGGTGCAGTTATCAAAAGTCCTTTACTATAGACGTCAAATAACGTTCCTTTATTCTGTTACGATGAGTGCATGTATACCCCAAGATCTTTAATTTAATACATCGCGGCGAAAAACCACTGGACGGTAATAAATGTGTTCTTGTAGGTCGACGAAATAATATCCTTCCAAATCTTCAGTAAGTTCGATAGTTATTTGAATGATTTTTTTAAAATCAAAATGTCGATAAAAACATTATATGCATGATAATGCAGGTAATGCACACACCGTGCGTATTAACATTAGTTACACACGGGTAATCAAAACTCATGGCCCACATGTTTTGATGCTTTTGATGAAACATGTAGCGTTGGCTATTAAAAAGCCTTTTAACAAATACAGGTTATTAACTGTTGACATGGATTAATGTAAAGCGTGCTAATTAAAATAATTAAATGACGAGTACTACTCGTAATTACTGAAATGACTATGTACTGTGGAGTGTGGTACATGTATTTAAATCTATCGTAGTCTATTCTCAAATTTCCAAATAAAATTAAAACATGGAGATTATTGAAAAATTGTTCACTGTTTCTTGATTTCACGGATTTATTATCACCGTGAATATAGCGAATATTAACACCGCGAGTTATTTTCCCCCTATACAGTAATTGTATAACAGTTTCTTGAAAAAAAAAAGATATAAAAAATATTTTTTTATTTTTCTTAAGTGCATTTCATTACATAGGATAAAATATTTCTCAGGTTATTGTATTAAGGTGGTTAGGATTATGATCTCTTGGGTCCTATAACAGATTCAATTTGAAAACAAGGAAAAATCATGGCCCCAGATTAGGGACAGTCATAGTGCATTAGAAGGGACAAACGTGTCCAACTGATTGATCACACTCTCAGTGAGTCCTCTGTATTGAGTAATCTATAGAAACATTATGTATGGAAAGAATAAACTGCCATGTCATTCAAAATTGGATCCATCAATAAGCTTTACTTGCAACCCAAGTCAAAATAATGACCAAAGTTTGCAAAATAGTGACTTTAAAAACGTTGAAAGCTCTGATACAAGAATACACATGTATACACTTGTACAATGTACATTAGTCTTTTTTTCTTGGCCTGTCTCAGTAAATTGACTGTCAGTGTACTCAGAGCACTACCTTGTCTTCTGAATAAGGAGTTAAACAGAGACAGGATATACAAGGTCATACTGGATTTATTTCATGAACATGGAAAGTTGACAAGAGAAACACTGAAGCCATCTCATTTATCATTCAGATTAGTTGTTTTTTAAGTGTCGAAATTGTCAGTTAAGACATTCAATTAGTTGTTAGTTTCCTTGTCTGCTTGTTAAGATTAAATTATTTCATAATTATAGTGAAAAAAACTAGCATTGTTAATTTCTTTACACATGCTCCAGTTTCCTTACATATTTTTTGATTAATGTTATCATGTATAATTTATGCTATTTCACTATCAGTTAACTTACAGGTGACTGTGTATTTGTCCAGTTTTGGTAGCTGCTAATTCTGGCACCAAATAAAACAGTGTCTCATAGTAGCTTTGACGTTTGAACTCTTCTGCAGCTATCAAAACTTTACAACCAACCTAAAAAAATACAAAAAAAAATTATATCCTAAGATTTCACTTTTTGCGATTCTGCAAATATCCTTATTTCTTGGTTAACCAATATTTATATCAATTTCTTTACATGTAGTATTTCTGTAGATATCTTTTTTAGGGTGTTATTCGCATATTAAATATATTACTTTATTTTGTGTGACCATGTAGTAATTCTGCTGATTTTTTTCATTATTTAGTGTGTTCATCTCATAATTCTGTAGATATATTACCGTATTTGGTGTTAAAATGTAGTAATTCTGTTAAATTTGTACTTCTTTTATTGTTATCATTTAATAATTCTGTAAATATCTTACTGAACATGACGTATATCTGATGATTTATTACATGTGATCATATAGTAATTCTGTTAATATTGCTTACTTTATTTAGTGTGAACATGTAGTAATTAATTCTGTTAACACATGTGTATCAAACTTATCTGGTGTGAACATGTAGTATATTTGTTGATATATTATTTCATTTAGTGTGAGCATGTCGTAATTCTGTTATTAAGTGTAAACATGTCGAAATACTGTTGATATCTTACTTTATTTAATGTGAACTCCAGTTCTTCTGGTCTGTACTGTGGGTTAATATTCACCTAAATCAAAAAAATATCACTCTAAAACAAATACATATATATTGAAATATACATAGGATAAACAGATCTTTACACCTTTTGCTAGATTTACCAGAATTATCCCAGCTCTGGCAGTAGCGTACTGTGTTACGACCCACTCCATCATGTTTGGCCCCCAGATCCCCACTCTATCTCCCTTCTTCACGCCCAGACTCAGCAGACCTGCTGCCAGCTGATCAGCCTAATGTCAAACAGTGAGAAATTTTGTATGTCTGTAAGCTTACATTTACATTCCCTCAAAACAGGATATAACATTGTACAATAGAAAGCAAAGTAAGACTGGCTATTGGTAGTATTGCAGTTATTCTGCATCAATTTTAAGCAGTAATTGTTCTCTTCTATTTTCCAAAATCATACGGTTAGAATCTGCTGATTTATAAATACCTGGCATTTTTTAACTGACTAATATAATACACAAAAGCATTTAGATAAATATATTAACATTTCTCAAAGAAATTGGGTTAAAAAGTAAGAAAAACTAAGCCCGAAAGATTATTAGATTTTGTTTTAGCATTCTACTCTTGATATGTCTGGGTTTCAGCCTGTAGCCTGACCTGTTCTAACAGCTCAGAGAACGTTAGTCTGTCTCCTGAACCACTGAACACCACGGCTGTTTTGTCCGGATGCCTCTCGGCCCGCTGTTGTAGAAGTTGACCAATAGTGGCCCCCAGTAGAGGGACGTCCCCCGGGCCCTGGGTGTAGCTCCATTGTAGCTTATCTGTAGAGGAGGTACTTAAAAATCTGAAAATGATATACAGAGAAGGATTCAACTGACGTTTCCAATCTTCAACAAATTCTTCAGAAAATTTGAACTCTGCAGGTAAGTAAATGTGTATAACTTAGGCCAGGTATATAGAACCTGCATTATTCCAAGAAATCAGATCAGTTATGTGCTTAGACGTGTGCAAAGATTATCAGAACTGCCTTAAAAGGAAAGCTAACACTAAATAAATCTACAAGAATATTTTTGTCTTTCATTTATAAATACAGTAGTACATACTTACTTGCAATTTAACAATGAACCACGATTTATATACCCGATATATTTGGAGGAAATTTGTTAGTGGTTGTAAGCGGTTACCCGATGAGAGAATAATGCTTATTCTCAATTAGTATTAAAAATAAATGGCAAAGCATATACATATTTGAAAGCAATTTTCTTTAAATGCATCTTGGTTTAAAACTTAATCATTGAGTGATTTTTTTTGCACATGCATCTATTAAAGCTGATTTGAAAGCAATTCATAATTGCTCTTCAAAGTTGGTTAGTTTGTGGAATGGTGTTCTATTATTGTTTATTAAAGTGAAGAGTAAAGTAAAAGTATAAACTTAATTTTGATTACTCTGACAATGCAGAAAGAAGTAATTTTGACATCTACTCTGTAAAATTATCCATGTCTTGATTTCTCATATTCATGGTTTTGTTTTATCTTGTCTTTTGAAATTGAAATAAAATTCATGTACACATCGTTCCTTAATCAATATAACAAACGGAATTTTTCTCTTTATTTTATTTTTTTTACTTTTCTTATGTATATGAACAGAGCTACTTGAAAAAAAGACGAGAAAGGTGCATTTCGATACAATTTACTGGCTTAACAGAGTCAGATAACATGAATTCTGTGACCGATTGTCGTCCCTATTTTATGAAGAAAAAAAAACAGTGACAATAACAAGCAATGATCGATCTAAAATAAAATCTTTAACCAAAAGAAATACCCCAGTATGTGAAGAGACCACAGAACACGGTTATAAATCAGATGCAATGATTGAAGCCAACTTCTGGGAGTTCAATTAATACTCGATTAATGCCTCTATCATTAACATGATACCAACTTTATATAAACGTGAAATCTAGCAAATTCACATTAAACGACAGATGCATGCATTAAATATCACTAAAACAAACCATGAACCTTTGAAGGTTAATAAAAGGACTTGATTTAAGTATACTTAAATATTTTAAATTGATACTTTGATCTCCTCACTTTAATATTGGCAAGCAGCACGTATTTGGAAATTAAAATTCAATGATAGGTTTCATTTTAATTCACTGAGTAGTTAAAGCTAAAAATAGACATTAAAATTTCCAGTAAAGTGTTTCAAATAAAATGGATTCCAGAAACACGACATACAGGTATGAAAATAAAACATATTTAACGGTAGAATAATTCTAAATCATTTCCAAAATACATCGCTAATTTACAAAGCATTGTTGTATTTTCTAATCAGAAGGAGATGCACAGAGGAATTGCCATAGTTTTTTTTTACTAGATAGGTAAAGCTTAAAATAGACATTGCGAATACCCAGCAAAGTGTATCAAGTAAAATGGATTCCAGAAACACCACACACAGGTATTATAAAATAAAAAAGGTATTTTGGTAAAAAATAATTTGTTTCCAAAATACATCGTTAATTTACAAACGAATTGTTTTATTGTTTCAGAAGAAGCTGTACAGAGAAATTGTCAGAGTCTGTATTTATAGGCCTGTGTAAAATACTGGGAACTCCACAACAGTTCGCCATGAGGAGAGATGTCATTGAGGTTATGAATATGGTACAAAATTACCTAGAAGCAAATACGGAGAACTATTTCTGGAGTGGGAGCTACGGAGAAGGATTCAGAATTTTGGGATCTGATGTGGACATCATGGTATGGCCAACTGATCATCGTGTATTCTGGGACAAGTCTCAGATCAGATGTTATAATGGAAACAGATTGGTGTCAATTCTAGCGGACAGTTCAGAAAGCCCTCCAGGGTTTACTTTACTCTGGTTTCCAGTACATCGGCCAAATATCAGTGTTTTGTCTTCGAGTTTTAGAATGAAGGGCAGATTGTATATATCTAGTTCTAAATACATTGAAAACATAATACTGTTAGCACCCAGTTGTATTAAACATGGGCCGTGTGCTCTAAATGTTATGGGAAAAGGATCTGAGTACGATCATGCCCACTGTTTTGCTTCTGACTTTTGGCCTCCATCTGCCTCCTCGTGGATAGGCAGATGTCACTCATGGCCCCAGCCTCATGTTGTGCAAAGCGTACTCAGAAATGGATGTCACCTTGTTGCAATAGGACACAAGCTAGGGAATCACGAAAATAATGAATGGCGAATATCTTTTTCTGTTGCGGAACAAACACTTGTGTATTCAATGAAACACTGTCAACTTTTAACTTATGGATTATTGAAATTGTTTTTAAATGAAGTAATTAACTTTCAATTAAGTGACGAAAGAAAACTACTGTGTTCCTATCACATGAAAACAGCTATTTTCTGGGTGCTGCAAGAAAACAAAATTTCACAATGGTGTCAACAAAACCTCCTGGAGTGTTTCTGGGTCTGTTTTAAACTCATTCTTAAATGGGTTTATCAAGGAGTGTGCCCTAACTTTTTCATTCCAGAAAACAACATGTTTCTGACTAAAATCCATGGTGATTCACAAGATACTTTATTTGCTAAACTTCATACACTATATGAGAGGGGCTGCATACCATGCCTCTTACAAAGTCCCTCTATCAGGTCCTATATCATAAGTGCACTCTATACTCCAAGACAGTCCATCTTTATAGAAGATAGCACTTTGATATACGAAGCTGTTTTTGATATAGAGCTATTTAGAGAGATACATAGAAATGGAACACCAAATACACTAAATCTGATTTCTCTTATAAAAGCCTTGCGCAAGATAGAACAATTGACACGTTTTCTTCTGACTAAATATCAAGGTATTATGTTACAAACACTAACAGCAAAAATTCTCCAGGATATAGCCTATTTATCTTACAATTTAATACCTTCAAGTATTCACATGTACAGTGACAATAACAAAGTGATATATATTTTTGATAAAATGTCGTGCCACATGCTGAAAATGGCAGCCAAGTTTGGTTGTATTACTGACAAGTTGTACCTTACCATGTATTATTATCGAACATGCCGCTACAGAAAAGCTTTATATGTGATAAGGAGAACAAAAATCAAATTAGCACTGCCACATTTGGTATATAGAGGGGTTACATTTGACTTTAAAAGGTATATGGAGTATGAAGGAGGACGAAGATGGTCAACCAAACTGCAGGATTGTGTAGCAGACCACATCCAAATCAGCAACAGAATAGTATATATCAATGAGTTAATAATAGAGCAACAGTCTGCTCTACCGAAGAGAGAATCCCCATTATTCATCCCACCCCACGTACTGTTATTTATGATGGAGTTTCTAATTTATTACAGACAAGCTGACACTGTAAATGCATTAACATCTCTGAAGAATCTCCAAGCTTTAGTGATCTATGATCAGGGAAAATATATACCCCCATCATCCAGAGACACATCATGGCACATCCTTGGGATTTGTCAACAGATTACAGGGGACCTTCATGATGCTTTATACTCATACCAACAATCCCTAAAATATCAAAAGAATGGAATACAAACTGCCACAGTAATACGAATTATAATATTGATTTACGAACTGTATTTCAATTAAGCGAATTTGAACAGCATATGACAGCTAGATCTTTGGGGATCTTTCAACTTTTCAAAAATGAAGGCTACAGGATTAAAATCCGCAATAAATCAGAAAATTCCAATTTCATTAAATACAAAGTGAAATGTTGTAGGAAATAAAGAAGTACAGTAGTCAAAATAAATTTTGTTGTAAAATTATTTTGTTAGAAATTATTCTGATTGTTTCGGTTCATACAATTACTCTGACGTTGATGGTAAAAAGATCCTTGGGTTTCTGATTGTACGGTTTGGATACTAGTGTTATCTTCCAACAATCTGTTGTAACTTCATGGGTACCTATTATGCTTTGTTATTAGCTGACCTATTTTTGTATTTTAACTAAAGGAAGCAAACTTTACCCTGGGTATTAAAAAACTTCTGCGCGAAACATGTAAAAAGAGAAAGTATTTTGCTATGGCATTCAATTTAGCAGCTAGAAATATCGATGTTTTATTGATCAACAATCATTATTTTCATTCCGGAGTTTGACACACGTTCTAAATTTGGATATTTACATGAAAAAATGTTAATAGTAATGTAACAGCCAAGGTTTATGATAAACATGATGACTATTAACTTTTCAATCATCAACTTCCCTTACTTACGTACATGTAGCAGTATACCCTGATCACCTGCAGATGTGGTAGTTTCCCACTTGATTTGATATGCAAAGCAAACTCCACATACATGCAATTTATAAAACAAGGGTAGCAATTGACGAGCAATTTGAAGATGGAAATATGGATAAAAGGAAACTTAATCAAGCTGAAAAGTCCATTGAAATAACACAAATAAGGAGCAGAGCAAACAGTGCCCTCTAAAACATCAGAGGTGGGAACAAGTGCCTTGGAGGAATGAGCATCCCCTTTTGACTGGTCACTACCATCGTGTTTTCCTTGTTATGATCGGGAAAAATGGAAAATCACGTAGACAATTAAGTGTGGTAATAATGGCCTAACAATTAATGTGAAAAAACTCACTCAGCATTTGAGTTAATGACAGATTGCATTTGCTGACCATGTCATTAAAATGACCATAGAACTTGCGAAATGATGACTTTAAATAAGATCGTTTATATTTTTGTTTCGGACATCAAATTGTCAATAGCTTGCCTCGTTTAGAAGTTGTATGAATGTGGAGCATGGTTTTGCTTATTGAATTAACTGGCAGGTCTACATAAACCCAATATATGCTGGTGATAAGGGTATATAAAGCTACATAAATAGGGGAACCTATAAGGCAATAGAAAGTCATCACGTTTATCTTTTGTATAAGTTTTGTTGTTAGGTTACCATTAACGTATTTTCTGGTAAAATATCCAAATTCCATTTCCATGTAACTAGATGTCCTTAAACACTGTATGCAGGCTACTCAGAGCATTTTCTTGCATATAGAGTCATGCAGTCAGGAGTCAAGCAGGTGATATCTTCATCCCGTAAAAGGGCACATGTGGGGTTTTAGTTAAGTATCAGAAGAGGTTTCAAATCTGGGCGTTGACTTTTTGTATGAAGCAAATATATTTGTAAAAATTCTTTGCTAAAGAATTCATAAGGGCCAAACAAAAAGTGCTCTTTAGCGCCAAACTCTGTTTGAAAGCGTTACGGATTGTGCGAAGACTTCTGGACAGTTTAGTCGACTGGAGCTAGGGAAAGTTGTGGTTTCGCTTACATTCTTTGCTCTTCAATTTACATACACAAACATTTAAAGCTCATTTTAACCATATTTTTGAAAGATAATAAAAGGATTAAAACATAGAGAAAGCCCTTGAGTTGAAACCCCCTCTAGTGCCAAACTTTGAAATCCCGTTAGACACATTAGAATTTGGCCAAAAAAGTTTATATTTCTTACAGAAATTCAGACCATTGTTAAAAGAAAAAAGTTTACATGGATTGTTTTTGTATCAATTTTTATCTATCATCCTTAAAATGAGCTTTAAAAGATTGTTTTTGTAAATTAAAGAGCAAAGAATATCAGAGAAACCACAATTTTGGGAAGTCGACTGCAGTGTCCAGAAGTTTTCGCACATTCTGTAACGCTTTCAAACAGAGTTTTGTACTAAAGAGTAAGCTAATGTAATCTTACAACCCGTACGCATGGCGTTTGCCCCCTAGCAATTCTTTAACAATTTTTTTTATAAAATTTTCTGCTTCATGCAAAAAATCATCACTTCGTGATTAGAGTTGAAAACCCTCATGACACCTAATCCAAACCACCACATGTACCCCCTTACAAAGTTTTCTAAGCTGCAAAAACTGTAAAATTATGGTTTTATATTTTAGTCTTCAACCATAATGCTACAGATCCCGTAATTGGGTTGCCCCAGAAAACCGGGAACTTTTTGAATATTTCAAATTCTATTCAACCAAAACAACATTTTGCATGTTGTTTGATAGTGATCTTTATGTTATTTTGACCAAATATTATAGACCTGTGACGTCAAACGCATATAAAACAACTGAATGATGAGGTTGGGTGGTATTTGTGGAACCACCAAATTATCAAACAAAAGCGATATAAAGATTTATGACTCCTGTACACTTGTGTGCCAAGATTATAACTGAAATCAGAGGCCCAAAACTGCTCACCTGAGAAGCATTTTGAAAGAATTTCACTGAAATTTCCTTTTTACATAACCACCAACTACCCCACTGATCAAAATTTAGACATTTTGAAATCTATGTAATCCATGATCCTTCCTTGTGTGCCATATGTTTAGCTTGAAATCAGGCCAAAAGTGTTAGGAGAAGAAGATTTTCAAAGATTTTTCACTATATATTTCTATGTTTTGATTCCCTATAATGGCACGCCCAACACCGGGGTTCATGAAAATTTAGAAAACACTACACAGAATGCTTCTATATATATAAGCTTCACTTTGTGTGCCAAGTTATACTTGAAATCAGAAAACTTTCAAAGATTTTTCCTATATATTTTATATAAAATTTTGATTTCCAAATTGTAACCACGGCAACACCGGTCATTGAAATCAAAAATACACAGAATCTACATTATACCAAGATGCTTCCACATTGTGTGCCAAGTTATTGAAATCAGCCCAAAACTGTAGGAGGAAGCATTTTCAAAGATTTTTCACTATATATTTCTATGTTTTGATAACCATTGTGGCAACACCGTTCATCGAAATCAAAATTTGAACAACAGAATTATGTATCTTAGTGTATTCCACATTGTGTGCCAAGTTTACTGAAATCAGACCAAAACTGTAGGAGGAGTAGCATTTTCAAAGATTTTTCCTATATATTTCTATTTTTATTAACCACGGCAACACCCTTCATCGAAATCAAAAATTTTAACAATTTAGAAGCTACATTATTCTACTTGTGTGCCAAGTTATACTGAAATCTGGCCAAAAGTGTAGGAGAAGAAGCATTTTGAAAGATTTTTCCAATATATATTTCTATGTAAAACTTTGATTCCCCATTGTGGCCCTGCCCTTCTCCCGGGGGTCATGATTTGAACAATTTAGAATCTACATTATACCAAGATGTGTGCACATAAGTTATATTGAAATTCTGGCCAAAAGTGTTAGGAGAAGAAGATTTTCAAAGATTTTTCCTATATATTTCTATATAAAACTTTGATTCCCCATTGTGGCATTACTATCGCATAAGCTCTTCTGGTCTCCCAGGGGTCATGATTGTTTTTGAACTAATTTTTATCTACATTATAAAAGGATGCTTTACAAAGTTTGCTTTTCTGCCCAGTGGTTAAAGAGAAGAAGATTTTCAAAGATTTTTCCTATATATTTCTATGTAAAACTCTTGAAGTTTTCCCAATTGTAACGCTTTCAAACAGGGTTTTGAACAATTTAGAATCTACATTATACCAAGATGCTTCCCCATAAGTTTCATGGCTTTTCTGGCCCCAGTGGTTCTTTAACAATTTTTAAATAAAATTTTTCCTATATATTTCTATATAAAAATCACCATTGTGGAACTTCGGGGTCATGATTTGAAACAATTTTGATACCTTACAAACTACCCCAGGATGCTTCCACATACAGTTTTATCTTACTGGCCCAAAAACTGTAGAAGAAGATTTTTATTTTGACCCAACCCTATTTTTGTCAGATCCCGTAATTATCTGCCCAAGCGAGGGGACTTTTTGTCCCTTCATTTTAACAAAATTTATAATATTTTGCATGTTGTTTGAAAGTGATCTTTTTGTTATTTTAACCAAATATTATAGACCTGTGACGTCAAACGCATATAAAACAGCATTTAAACACTGAATGATGAGGTTGGGTGGTAATGTGGAGCGCCAAATTATCAAACAACACGATGTTGAGCGGGATATGACTCCTGTACATAGGGAAAAGAGGTGTTAACAATGAAAAAACACAAAATAAGTATAGGAAAGAGGTTTATCTTTTAATACTTTGAAGAGGTTGACTTGACTGGTTATGCGATAAAAGAGAATAGACCACTAAAATGAAGACGAACTGAAAGAACAGGAGCAGCCGGATGGCATACGCCTAAGTGAAGGCTTCAGATAAACAATTAAATCAGATAGGTTTATGATCGAAATTATCCCCGCTTATTTTTTTTTAACACTAGTATATGAGGAGTATAGCTTGGTAACTAAAACAGGATAAAAAATTGTGCCGAATTTATGAAAAAATGAATTTTTAATTTTCAGAACATATGCACAAACACAAACACTACATTTTGACGTCGTCAGTGTTGCGCAGACAGCTTATATGATTTTGGTTAACAGAGAGGAAAATGTTATTTACAGAGATATTTCAATGAATTTTTTAGGCATATTCAAAAAAAAAATTTGATCATGATATATGCCAGTTATTATAAGAAAAGAATGTCAGACGCTGTTGATGCTGTATTGGGGAAAGAGCAGGCAGGATTTAGGAAACATCAAGAATGTACTGACCAAATCTTTGCACTCCATTAAACATCATAGTACAGTGCACAGAGTGACAGAGACAACCGTACGTAAACTTCGTGAAATCTGAAAAGGCATTTGACAGCATACAAAGAGATAGTCTTTGGAGCATCCTACTTCATCGTGGTATTCCAACTCAAATGGTCCACTTGATAAAGATCTTTTATTCATAACAACTTCATTTGCCCAGTAGGACACAATGACACCTTTTTCGATGTTAAAACTGGAGTCAGACAAAAATGTACAATGTATGCAGTATTATTCAACTTGGTCATCGATTGGGCCATGGGGAAGACAACAGATGACTCTCAAAGGGGGATCTGCTGGGGCCTGTTCTCAACTAAACCAGATGGTGACACAAAGGAGGACATCCACTGCAGACTGGGCAAGGCCAGTAGAGTATATACAGAAATGAATAACATCTGGAGGTCTGCACAGTATGCACTGGCAACAAGCTGAATCTTTACCAGAGCTGTGTTTTATCAACTCTCCTTTATGGATCAGAGTGCTGGAAAATAACAGAGATAGCAAGTTATGATCCTTTCATACCAACTGCATCCACCAAATACTCAGGATATTCTGGCCCAAAAAGATAACAAATGAAGACCTGCTGAGCAGATGCAAATAAGAGGACATGGGTACATGTACCTTCATTACCAAATGCTCATGAAGATGGATTGGACATGGTCTACGAAAAGAACCCAGTCAACAACTAGAACAGCATTGCATTGGACAGCCAAGGGCAAAAGAAAGAAGGGGAGGCCTAGAACATCATGGCAAAGGACAGTTGAAAGTGAGATGAAAGCAATGCACCAGACCTGGGGATCATTGACAAGGCTGGCCCAGGATAGACAAGAGTGGAGGAAGTTTGTTGCTGCACTACACACCACAGACTGTAAAGGACAATGATGATGATGAGTTTTAGTGAAATAAAAGATATTGATAATGTTTGCATTTTTCTGGGAAAACCCTTGTTTTATGCTGTTTAGGGTACAAGATTTTCTATGCATGGTTGGGGGGATTTCTCTACTATCCAGCATTGGACAATCAACTACTTGTACCTTTCAATCCCTAATTGTAGACAATTCTATTACCAACCTGTATTAATCGATCTCCTAATTTTAACCCTTTATCAGTTCTCTTTCTCTTTCCCCTCTCTCTCTCTCTCTGAGTTGTGCAGTTTACATTACTGTTGTTCAGTGTTGGCTTCAAAATCAGCAAGATTGGTCATTTAAGGTATTGTTTTTTAGCTCACCTGAGCCAAAGGCTCAAGTGAGCTTTTATGATCAAAATTTGTCCGTTGTCTGTCGTCATTGTCGTCGTTGCCGTTGTAAACTTTTCACATTTTCATCTTCTTCTCAAGAACCACTGGACCAATTTCAACCAAACTTGGTACAAAGTATCCTTGGGTATAGGGGATTCAAGTTTGTTCAAATGTACAGTGTAGGGTCACGCCCTCTTCCAAGGGGAGATAATTATGAATTCGTGAAAAATTAATGGCATTTTTAAAAAATCTTCTTCTCAAGAACCACTGGGCCAGAAAAGATGAAACTCATGTGGAATCATCCTCAGGTAGTGTAGATTCAAGTTTGTTCAAATCATGACCCCCGGGGGTAGGGTGGGGCCTAATGGTCAATCAAAGTTTTACATAGGAGTATATAGGGAAAATCTTTAAACATCTTCTTCTCAAGAACCACTAGGACAGGGAAGATGAAACTCATGTTAAATTATGGTCAGATAATGTACATTCAAGTTTGTTCAAATCATGGCCCGGGGGTTGGGTGGGGCCACAATGGCCGATCAAAGTTTTACATAAGAATATATAGGAAAAATCTTTAAAAATCTTCTTCTCAAGAACTTTCTCAATAAGTTAAATGCAGAATTGATATGGAGGCATTCTCAAGTAGTATTACAATTCAAGCCCCCCACCCCCACCCCCACCCCACCCCACCACACTATCTCAGTAAACTTTTCAATTCTGATCTGATTTGTGCATTTTCCTAGCCGATGTGCTCTGGTGAGCGATGTGGCCCCTGGGCCTCTTGTTGTTACTTGGGGATGGACCTGTGCCACAAATTAACTTTCTGATGAGTTATTCAAAAATATAAATGGTCAAATATTAGAAGTCAAAATATATACAAGAGGCCCATGGGCCACATCGCTCACCTGAGAAGCTTTGACCATGCAGTTCTTTACCAAATTTCCCCATTGTAATACATATATTGTGACCACACCCTACCACATGGGTCACCATTTGGACAATTCAAAATCTACACTTCACAAGGATGCTTCCACTTAAGTTTCAGCTTTTCTGGCCCAGTAGTTCCGAGAAGAATTTTAAAGTATTTTTCTATATATTTCAATGTAAAACTTGCGTTCCCTATTGTGGCCTCGCCTACCCCCCGGGGGTCATGATTTGAACAATTTAGAATCTACACTACCCCATGATGCTTCCACATAAGTTTCAGCTTTTCTGGCCCAGTGGTTCTTGAAAATAAGATTTTTAAAGTCTTTTCCTATATATTTCTATGTAAAACTTTCATACCCTATTGTGGCCCTGCTGTTGTATATCTAGTAATATACTTTACACCTGCATATGGTGTTTATGACTCCCACTTGATTCAATAAAATATTCAAGAGCATGTTCAACTGACAAACATATTCTTTATCCATGGTATGCTACTGAAATAAAAGTTGGTGATGCATGTATACCAGCATGGATTTAACGACATTTCATAAGTTCTACACCTCAAATGTCTCATTGTCATAAATGTTGATGGGTAAAGCAAAGTAAGTGTATATCAAGTTTTGTCATGTACCTTGTGACTTTGCTTTCTATTCATTGGTAGGATGTAATCCCACACTGGTTAAATCAAAGAAGTTCTACAGAAGGGGGAGGGGACAAGAGTAATTTCCTTAAAATGCAAAGTCTATGCATAACATGTGTAAAAAGGATAACCTTTTTACTAATGCTACACAAATTCATTGGTAAGGTCAGATAAAAAATGACAGAGCAAAAGCTGGAACGTTATCTGGTAAAAATGTCATTAAAGCTTAAATTACCTTTTTCCCAAGATAGCAGCGCTGTCATCCAAATTTCTGAGTGGTTTAAACTTGGAAAGGGGACTGTACTTAATTATAAAGCGAAAGTTTTTCATGTTATTCTTGCAAACTTGTCAATCACGAAGATAAAACTTCTTGACCTGCTTTTGTTGACATACTTTACGGCTAGAAAGCTTAGAGTGGCCTCCCTTCCTCGAGATCTTCTATCTATGTTACTGCACATGCGCGAAATTCCGAAGCTTTCTTGTTTCCAAGACTGGAAATGATAATGTTACAGACTTAATTAATGATTTTAAGATAAGCACGACAACTATTTGTAAAGATGAAGGTAAGTATTTTTTTTTCAATACATCTGGTTTGTAAAGAAGGCTTATCTTTTATTTATCGATGTCTTAAAATGAAGAGCGAAGGATTCTTTTTCAGTTTGGTTTGCTATTTAGATCCATCTCGAATTTCCTCGGGACGAACAGGTGCTACTGACTTCAATAACAGACTATATTTAATGCTTCTTTTTCTTTCAGAGAGTTTTCAGTTTAAGTAATAAGAATTTTGGTGGCCAAGGAACAATAACATATAGTTGGCAAAGAGCTTTGGGAAACTATCTTGCTACCACAGGGTAGGTAACATTTTTTTATGTCTGGCATTGATTTAGTGCCTGTAACCTAACGGTACATTTATGTATTTACATTTGCATATGTTTGCCCTTATATAACACTATTTGAACAAGGTGTTTTTACACCTGTGTAAAACACGTTCGTTGTGTGACCATAAATTGATTGTTTAGTCATAAGCGATCCGGATGTGTTCACATACCTGCCAACTCTCCCGATTTTTTCGGGAGTCTACCGATTTTGAACCCATTCTACCGCTTGTCTACCCATTTATTTTTTACCCCCAATTTCTACCGATTTTTAAGAAATCCGGAAATTTTACCGATTTCGCTCTGAAAAATACCGTATTTCCTGTGAAAGAGAAGATGGCAGTTCATTGTTTATCGGTAGATACATGTTTATTGCCGCTGATAACAGGTAATCAACAAGGTGCCAACTGTGCTACCAGTGATTACTGGGGTTGTAATTGCTTTCGATTCTCATTAGCAGAGTTTATTAACAGAGATACTGAGATAGACATGCCAGGTGTGGAAATTTTCAGAAATACACATTAGAAAAATGACAACGGGATACGACCTAGTGTTGAATTGACACTGTGCAGCAAAATATGACAATATACTAATAAACGGCTTATAAATGGTATTAAGCTTAGGAAATATGGCATTCCTCATTATATTCTCGTACGAAGTCATTAAGCATGGAAAATACACCACCAAAGTCAAAAAAGAAAAGGTACGTCTGCAAGTATCTAAATTCTTGGGAAAAGGAAGCAGAATTCAAAGGTTGGCTAACAAAAAGTGTGAAAGGCGAAGATCATGCTGCACCACTGGCCTGCTCTGACAAGCTACTTCAACTCGCACAGTGATGTAGAGAAGCCTGGACGAGTTAAGAGAGTGGCAGAGCTCCTCAGTAGCCATGAGATGAGGATGACCTTCCACTTCTTAGGTTATGTGTTGGAGCCATTGAATGAATTCAACACTACATTTCAGGTATATAAACTATAATCTTAATTTATTGATCATTTTTTATTTTATAAATCACAAAATTAAGAACTGTATTCTTATTCAAGTACTGATTTTTTCCTCTACCTTTGTAGGCTGATGAATCAAGGATTGGATATCTTGGAGAAGAAATCCACAAACTCCTAAGAAAATTCCTTGGCCGTTTTATAAAGGCAGGAGTAATCAAGAATTCCAAGGACCTCATCAGTGTGGACTACCAAAATCCAGAAAACCAGCTCCAAGACAACATTCTTGCAGTTGGAATTCTTACCAGGTCCTACATTGCAGAGAATGATGAGGATATTCCACCAGTAGACTTGGCAAAATTTTTCCAGTAAGTTTAGATTCTGACCTTTTAATTTTTTTAAGCTGACAGTTCTTAGCTCAGTTTAAGAAAGTAAATAATTAAATTACTAAAAACTTCCTTCAAATATTTGTTGTATGCAGTGTTCATCATGTAACTTTAAGGAATGTTGTATTAATATAGAAAAAAGTCCTATTGATATTATACCTGTTTGATTTTGTCTAATTTTAGGAATGTAAGGGGGTTCTACTGTGCCATCACAAAGAAAATGCTAAAGCACCACTTTCCATTCAATGACCCAGTTGTCAGCAATTTAGGATTCTTGAATCCTCACAGAAGGGAAGAGACTACCTTGCAGTCTGTAGTGGAGATTGCTAAAAGATTCCCTGCCATAGTTCAGGAAAAGGACTTCCCAAAGTTGGAAAAGAAGCTTCTGGACTTCACTGTTTCTCCTGACTGTGACCTACCAAACTTTGAAAAGGGGCAGACTAGAATAGACTCATTTTGGGGAGAGATGGGGAAAATGACCAACAAAATCTCTGAAACACCAAGATTTCCAATTCTGAGTAAAATTGCTCAGGCCATGTGCTGCATTCCAAACAGCAATGCAGATTGTGAGAGGGTGTTCTCCCTTGTGAGAAAAATTCAGACAGAACAAAGATCTTCCATGGACAATCAGACTCTATGCAGTCTTCTGTGTGCTAAAATAAACTGTAAAGAGGAATGTCATCAAGTGAAACCTTCTAAGGACACTCTGAAACTAACAAAATCAGCAGCTTACAATTACAATAAAGAACATTAAAGTCTATCATTTGTTATTTCTTAGTTATCAGTATGAACAAAAAGAACGAGCGATGACTTTTTACTATCCAAAAAGGTCGTCGCGCGATTTCTCCCCCAAGAAATATTTGGAATGTTGACAGGTATGTGTTCAACACATTCAAATTATATCGTTGAGTTTTGAAAAATATGAATCATTTTTGGATTTAAAACTTAAGTACCTTACTACTTGTAATGAATCAGTCACAAATGTAAATATAAGTAATAAGGTATAATTTTTTTAGTTTTATTGGCATGTAAAACGGGTTGGCACATGATCAAATCTTCCGTAAAAGACTTTTGGGCTTGTTTTAGTTGTTTACCTATTTCTTTTGTAGTCATACATTGATTTTTTCAAAGGAAAAGCTTGGAGAATAATGTTACTTGTAATGTATTGTTTTATTTAGAGCTGACCATGTTGTAAGAATTTATGACAGGCATGGAGAACTAAAGGAGGAGATCAATTTACCAGGGTAAGTGTCTGTTAGACACTTTGAGGGACAATATAAGATTATATTTTCTGGGAAATAAAATAATTCCATTTCTTTATTTCTTTTAGAACTAACCCTAACCCTTAGCATTTAGTTGCAGCAAGTGTAAATTTTATTTAAGATTTTTTCAGGCTAAAAGGAGTCAATTTCATCATGTTTATATCTGGAATTTTTAACTTACCAACATACTGTAAATCACTTTTTATTCGCAAGAACTTTATTTTCGCATAATTACGTGAGACAGTGTGATCGCGAAAATTTAATTCTCGCGTATAATAGTATTCCTTAAGAATATATCATGAGAGCAATAACCACAATACGCAAAAATTTTGTCTCACTAATCAAGAGTCAATGACTATCTCGCGTAAATAAGATGTCGCGAAAATTTAGTGATCTACAGTATGTATTTTAAAAATTTATAAAGATAAGCTTAATTACTGCGTTTTCTTATTATTCTAATTTATAGTCTGAATTGACTTTGAATGTTTTTATAATGCAGTGTCATGTAACTCAAGTATCAATCTTCAGATTATGTGTTGCTATGGGATGGGACAAAGATGGTGATACCCTTGCCGTTATAAATGACAAGAATGGAGTTATCACCCTTTGGGATGCGAACACTATGAGGACCAGTCAGTTAGATAGCGGACTAAGGTGAGAACTAGTTTACTACTGTATAGACATTACTTTTTTCTAGCGTTTTTATTGCTGTATTATAAATTGAAAAATAATATCTTTCACTTTTGAAATTGATAAATTTATAACATCTAATTTATTGCATAAATTTTTTAAAGAATTATTCAATGTACACCATTGATGCATGTACACACAATTCATATGATCTAGTGAATTGATTTTAAACTACAGTTTTTATTGCTTGCATTGAACATGTATGTTGTAGAAATCTCTGAATGATCTACTGTTTTTATCTGTTGTAGAGATCAGCTGTCCTTTCTTCTGTGGGCCAAAGCTGGACCCTACCTGGCCATTGGAACATTCAAAGGAAACCTGATGATTTATAACCACCAGACCTCAAGGTGAGGTTAATATTAACTAAAAGACCAGCTTTATTTTGTGAACATACATTTAAGAAAAAGAATACATATTAAAGATATGTATGCCGTGTTAAACAGTATTTTTGCACAGCTGAAACCGAACAAAAACTTCTGGAGTATGATAAGCTACCAAAAATGAAGTATTCTTGCAAATTCGACGAAATTTTATTCGGTATTAACAAAGTACTGGTCAGAAAAAGAACACGATATTCTCATGCATATTTATAAAGGACTGACGTTTATCCTGGATCTGCGCATGTGCACGGGAAAAGCATCGCGAGAATCATCAGGTTGAGGAAAATATTTTTTGTGACGTCTGTTCAGTGAGGGACACAAACAGACCAATCAGCTCGATGAGTTGCATTTAATGCATTTATGGGTTACTACATAAAATACTACATGTGTTTTTCAAAAAGGCTAGTTTTTTAAATCGCTCTCAGAAAGACCTGATGCATTATGTACATTATTATCCACTAATCCCATGCTCATATTTGCATACAAATGATTAACAATGATGAAAATTAAAGTTTTCCCCACTCCATTGTACAGGTCCGTTTGTTTAGAGTTTCCCCGTGCTGTACTGCTAGTGGACATTTTCGGTTGGGTGAACATTTACGGAGGGTGTTCTCCCTTGTGAGAAAAATTCAGACAGAACAAAGATCTTCAGTATGGAGCGCATCATGCGCAAAAGATATTTCATGTCAAATACAATGTATGGAAAGTAATTTAAACTGCTATGTTTACACCCTGAATGGGATATCGTCAATTATCCCTTTTGGCTTTTTAATATGAACTATATAACATATATAGATGAAACTTACATACCATACATCTTGCCTTCTTAGAAATATAGTTGGGCTAATAAAATAAAATTGGTCAAGGAATTCCAGGCCTCTAAAAACTATTCCAGTTTGAGGGCACAACCAAGCATTTTGATGAACACCATTAAGAAAAATTAATTCAGGTAGGTAGCATCGGTTTTTTTTTAAAGTGGGTGGGGGGATGAACAGTTAGAATAAAAATCAACTAGCTGAAGAAATCTGACAAGTAAAATAGGTTCCAATATCTTTCACTACTAAATTTTATTCATTCACTACAATTTACTGCCAAACTCCAAATTTCACTTTCGAATTAGCCCGAGCCAATGCTGATAACCCACTTGCAAGATTTTTTCATATTATTTTCAAGGGGTCAGAAATACTGTGGTTCATATGTAAAGAATATAAATATATTATTTAGTAGTATTCTGGTTTTGGCATTCGGTATATTGTGCAGATTTATACATGATATTCTGTGGAATACTTTTTGTTGTTTTGAACCATTAAGAAATGCAGAATCGAATGTATCTAATAACCATTTTGATTGATCAAATTATATTATTTGTTTGTATTGGTTATTTCATTTTGGCACAACATGGTTTCCACACTTCTTTATCCATAGTCGCTGACAGCTGTAGAAGTTCACCCAACCGAAAATGTCCATTGAAAAGACAATTGCACGTGATTATTCCTTGGTACAAAAAGCAACCAACTCTGAGGTGCTCACAATATTGACAATCCCTAACTCACGTTTTTGTAGTAAAAACGTAGTAGACCATCATGCTTTTCGGTTCATTCACGAGTTTGGACCATTGTTTGCTGTAAACATGGGAGACAACGTGGTCATGAATATTTCAATAAGAGGCGGTTTTTTATCCGACACGGAGAGAAAACAATTTTTACCAAATAATATTTCGTAACTTTTAAAAATGATGGAGTGGAATTGTCTTATTTGCAGAAAGTATATAACTTATATAACTTGATGAGACACCACATATATTTATTACTTTTAAAATAAAACACTAATACGGCATATATAGCTTTAAATATGAATTAGTTACAATTTATGCCTGACTTTGTCAATAGGAAGGTTCCAATTTTGGGTAAACACACACGTCGGATCACCAATGGATCATGGAGCAATGAGAATCTGTTGGCGTTGGCGAGTGACGATAATACGATATCCATCAGTAACATCGAGGGCGATACAATCCGACAGACATCCGTCAGGGCCAATCCACAGAATGTCCAGTTCTCTGAGATGAAGGGTGACGAGCGAAGTCAGATGGGAGAAAACACAGTAAGACGCTGTCACTCTTATACATACTAAAATACTACCACTTCCTGCAGATCATGTGTGTAACTTGACAGTGCCAGACAGCAAAATTTGAAGTTGGAGTAAATATGGACAACATTTAGAAATCATTTACATTTCATTATCCAGAAGTCAGTGTAGTGAATTGATTGTAAATGTTATATGCATGTTTAAGGTCAATGTGGTGACCTGAGATGAAGTCATTTGTTTATTTTTAGGTCAGCGTTGTTATTGGGAAGAAGACCTTGTTCCTGTATAACTTAAATGACCCAGAAAATCCTATAGAACTGGCCTTCCAACAGAGATACGGCAACATCATCTCTTACAAATGGTCAGTAATTGTTCTGTTCTTTCTCTTGCAATGTGGCTAATGAGATGTTGTAAAATGTATCAGTAATGAAGTAAAATTAATGATTTAACATTTTATTGGGTTGTGGCAAGGGGATACTCCTACTGTATTTATGGTGATTTCATGGGGAAAAAAATATCTATTTGTCATGTATTTACTGGTACTTAGTAGTGGAGCTTTCTATCTAGAATGAAGTTCAAAATGCCAAGACCTCATATTGTAAAAATGTTTTAATAATGAGACAGTCAAGCCTAATTCTTGTAGGGATTTCAATCCATCTCAGGTTTAAAAAGCATTTGTTGTGTGAAGAGCCACATGCTCAACTCATAGATATAAATGTACCTGGGCAAATCAATGAAGCTTTCAATAGCAGTATATTTATCTGACATTTTCTTTACATTTGGGTAAGCTGAGTTTTCTTGTTTTGTAGGTATGGAGATGGCTACATTATGATTGGATTTTCTCATGGCTATTTTGTTGTCATCTCAACTCATATGAAAGAAATTGGACAGGTAAAGGTTTTCTCGTAAGGTTCATGTATATATAGTGACTTGTCCTTTTATTTCTACCCATTTGGACATGTTAGTTTGTATTATTTAAGGATTCTGTCATTCTGTGTATGTTTGTAGGAGCTGTTTCAAGCTCGGAACCACAAGGACAACTTGACCTGTATAGCCATTTCTACTGCTCTCAACAAAGCCGCCTCCTGTGGTGATAATTGGTAAGGTTTAAAATAAACCATGATTTTAGGCCTATGTTAAAAAACTCAAACAATTTAAGGATGTATACTTGCAGAGAAATTCTGACTCATTATACTGAAGTCACCCAGTACAAGACGAGCTTTTTCACAAAACAATATCTATTACAGGAATCAAGTAAAATGTAGACTATTTTTACAGAATTAGGGTTCATATAAACAAAGTTGGAATTCCTTTTTGATTGCTGTAGAATGTAATGTTAATGGAAAGAGAAATTTACCATTTGAAGTTCCAGATTTTTTTCTCTTTAACAGCATAAAGATCCATGACCTTTCTGACCTTAAGGAGATGTTTGCCATTATTAACATGGAGGATGAG